CAGGCCGCTCCGGGCATGCCCAGCGCTGTTGCACTGGCTTCCACGGCGGCCCTGTGTAGGTCCATGACTTTCTGGGCACGCCATCGGCCACCTAATGTGCACCGTTTCCTATCATGCTAAATGGGCTTAGTGATCCGTCTCCGTCTTTCCACCATCTCACTTACTCAGGTTGGATAAGGTTTCCTCAGGAGTGCCCGTAAAGAAGATATGATGGGATTAATTAGTGTAACTGAGTCGACTATTCTAAACATAAATTTTGAAAATAAAGCTGGGGGGCGACCAGTGGATGGCATAATGGTTACATTGCTGGACTCCCACGTTGTTGACAACGGTGGCTTAAAACTTACACTGTGTGTGCGTGTCCAAAACCCCGAGAGGAGAATGGAGGAGAAAGGATTGTGGCATGGTCATCCCCCCTCCCCGCCTGGGGGTGGGGGATGGTTTCTTGCTTTCTGTCTCTCTGTCTATCTCTGTTTCTCTGATAAATGCATGTGCCCTATAGCAAAAATGTCTCTGAAAAATAGAAAGAAAGAAAAGAAAATTAGGAATCCCACAGAATCAGAGAAATTTTGGAGTGAGGGAAAAAAAAAAAAAAAAGCCCATGCCTCTACCACGGGGGGCATGGCCGTCCACGTTTTAGGACATATTTAGGTGGGTGAGCAGGAAGGAGGCAGAAGGATGAGTGAGGGCTGGGTCTGGAATCAGAGCCCTCCTGCATCGCAGCGTGAAGCCGGGCTTAGGAATGGGGTCCAGTAGTCTCCTGAGGGCCCGGACAGAGAATACAGAGGGAGTAGGAGTGCAGGAGTCTATGTCTCTATGTCGGGAAAGGGGCCCAGCAGGCAGAAAGGTGGGCGCGGCCCCGACAGCAGCAGCCCAGCAGGCAGACAGCCTTGGGACACTTGGTGACACAGCCTGTCGCTGCTTCAGTGTGTGGAGAGGACTCCATGTCCTGCAGGCTAAGACAGGAGGGAATGACGTCCCAACCAAAATGGGAATATTGCGGAATGTTTGGAAAACCAAAATCTTGCACTGCATACCACAGAGGGGAGTTCTGCCTGCCACACCAGCCTGCTGTCCCCTCTAGTGGACACTAGGACTCTGGAAAACATCTGGAAACCAGGGTTCCATAGGCAGTGCTGAGGGTCCAGACTTTACGGACACAGGTGTGCGGGGAACGAAGAGGACACTTTTGTCCAGAGATGAATGAGGAGAGTGAGGCAGCAATGAGGAGGTGGAAAGCCAGAGCTCAGGACCAGGTTTGGAAAGGCTGAGGGCTCTGAGGTCCGCTGCTGGCTGAGGCTGCTGCCATGGCCAGGAGGCTCTGAACACAGCAGTGGGGCCTGAGGGCAGGGGGCATAGGGGAGGGACAGAAGGGTCAAAAAGGGTTGAGGGGACCAGCTGCGGAGATCACAGTTCTAACAACCATGTGGGCTGCACGTGGCTGAAAACTTTAATGAGCTGTGTCTTAGGGAGTTTTTTGTTTTTGTTTTGTTTTGTTTTGTTTTTGGAGAGGTTTTTGCTATAGGGTGTGTGCGCTGGCCAGACAGACAGAGAGAGACAGAGAGACAGAAAGTGAGAAATCACTCCCCAGGGGGGATGGCCATGCCACAATCCCTCCTCCTCCACTCTCCTCTCTGGATCTTGGGCACGCACACGCACACACACCCAGTGTGAGTTTTAAGCCACCAGGTCCAGGAAGCGAACCACGGTTGACTATGTGGGAGTCCAGCGACATAGCCATTACGCTAAGTGCTGGTCCCAGGGAGTTTTGATTCTTACCCTGAAAACAGCCTGTGCAAGATAGAGCGTCTGATGATATTAATGGAGTGTACGAAGGACAGCCGTAAATGAATGTGTGGCGAGGCACGAACCTCAATGCTATGCCCATAAAGTTCTAGGTTCCCCGGGTGCTTGTACTTCTTTTGACAGCAGGTGGGTAGCATTTTACATCCTTTAACCCACAGAACTCTTGGCAGGGAGGTGACCTCGGAGATGCTCCCAGCCACCCCTGCACCTGAGGAACTGAGAAAGCTGAAACCAAGGGTCCCTCTTCCAAAAGGCGCTTGACTTGGAAAAGAGCAATGAGGGTCTTTGGGTATTACTCTAACGCTCATTCCACAGGAAGGAGTAAGATACTTCAGTTGTTTTTCATATAACACTAGTATTAATAGTTTCTACCAACAAATTTAATCACCAGACACTGCCACTTCTATTGTTTATTTCGGCTATCAGAGATGCACCTTGTGCATTAAATAAATTGACCGGGAAGTGACGCGATTTAGAACCCACCACTGGGTGGCAGTGCAGTGCGGTGGTAAAGACGCTGGCCCGCCCTGTGGACAAAGCAGGCCTGGATTTGAATCAGGACTCCACACTGGGTGGTGTGACCAGCTGCTTATCCTCCCCCAGCCTCCGTCTGTCTCTCCACCTTTAAGCGGGCACAGTGATGACCATCGTAAGGGCGCTGTGAGAACTGAGTGTGATAACGCACATGAGACAGCTGGTCCTACACCCTCGACAAGTGCTAACAGCCGTGCTGGTCTCTGCCACCAACCCTGACTGCCCCGACAACTGGAACAGCGGTGCACTTGGGACTAAACACAAGCTGTGACGCCACTTCTGTCTCAGAGCTTATGACCCGTCAGATGCTATGCCAGCCACGTGCTCCCGGGGAGTTAAGGACACTAGGTGTCAACGGCACTTGGGCCTGAGTCAACTTTACTGGCAACTGATAAGCTTAGACCCACAGATCTGAGTCACGCCCCACTTTTACTCTGAATAGTAGCTGCAGTGGACAGAAAGACAAAGGCCAGCTCCTGCCTCAGGGGCTTACAGCTCATCCAACAGCGGGGCAAGGAGCATGCAGATAGCTTTCTGGAGGGAAACATCCATCCGGAACACGCTCCAGGGCTGGGACTCAGGCTCCAGAGGGCGAGGTAGGAATGAATACATGCATGGAGGTGTAGCAGAGACACTTTGCAAGGAAATGGAAGTTTGTGCCATAGCTGGAGCTTTGTCACTTATAACAGCGTGACCTAGGAGAAGTTACTCCACCTCTCTGAGCCGTGTCTCTTCTTCATCTGCAAATGGGATGGCACTGCCTCTCCTCATTATTTTTGAAAGATGGTGAGCATTGAGGACAAAATTCTGGCTACTTTTTCCTATTCCAAAATTCTTTCCAAAGGGCCAGGGGGAGTCACACCTACAAACATTAACAGACTGCCTTGACCCAGGGGTTATGTGATGCTCCTACAACCTGTCCCTGGCACAGCCTGTTTTTATTAGTTTGCTTGTTTTTGTTTGTTTGTTTGGTTTTTGGGTTTTTTTTTTCCATAGGGCACATGTGCTTACTGGAGAGATACAGAGAGAGGACAGTGAGAACTCTTCCCTTGGGGGGAATGGCTATGCCGCTATCACTTCTCTTCTCTTCTCCTTGTGGGATTTTGGGCACACACATATATATGCACATGGGTCTGGCACTGCAGAGGGCAAACAGCTTCAAAATAGTAGCTTGTTTATTTTCAAACCGGGTTAAAATGCTTTTGCTAGAATGCATTTCAAATATTATTCCTTCAGGGAACCAGCAGTTAGCGTAATGGCTATGTCGCTGGACTCCCACGTAGTCGACCGCGGTTCGTGTCCTGGACTCAGTGGCTCAAAACTCACGCCAGGTGCGTGTGTGTGTGCGTGCCCAAGATCCTGAGAGGAGAATGGAGGAGAAGGGATTGCAGCATGACCATCCCCCCTGGGGGGTGATTTCTCACTTTCTGTCTCTATGTCTCTGTCTGTCTGGCGAGCGCACGCGCCCTATAGCGGAAAAAAATATATATATATATATATTATTCTTTCAGAGATGTTTTCAGAACCCTCCTCTGTGCCAGGCCCTGTGCCCAAGGATGGTGTGGAAACAGCCTCCTGGCCCCTGCTTCATACAGTGGCCAGATCCAGGACTTGTGGTCAGCCATGTGGGATTCAGCACCTTAACCACCAGGTCACTGCCCCCCCCCGCCCCGTGTTCAATAATGCTTAGTAAAGCCTTCTTATTGCTGTTCAAGTGAAACGCAGGCGTTCTTTTGCTGATTTATTTTGGGATCAAAGGCTTGTGTTTGGGTTTTCTTTCACCAACTGCTAACGCAGAATCTCTAAACTGCCTCCACCTGCAGAAGCCCTGTCATCGGGGCCAGGCCATGTGAAGGCTCCTGATGCTGATTGTGTCTCCGCCCTCAGAGCTGAAGAGAACTGCAGCGTCTGAGCACCCGAGAAAACGCTTTTGTGTTTCTCGCCATTGGTCGCTCAAATCTGTGCCTAGAATAAACAGTTCAAGAATTTCTGCAGAACCTTGATTCCTCACAGACAGGTCTGACCCACTTGTCCACAGGCCTGCTTCTATTCTGCTGCTTGCATGGTCCGTGTGAGCGTGAGACTGGACTGGACTGGTCCTTCATGCCTCTCCATTCTCTGCTGTGCCGTAAAATGAGCCGGAGTTTCTGGGAGTGAAATTCTTACCTCCTGCCCTCTAGTTCAAATCCTAGAATGATCTGAAAACATTTCAAAAAACTGAAATGTTTGACTACAGTCATTAAAAGACTGTTCAGAGAGAAAAAACCTTTTGGTCTCGATTCCTGGGCTTTGCAGACAGTACAATTTTGGTTTTAGCTCAAAAACGCTTTGATTTGAATCCCTGATGATTCTCCATTCTCTGTTGTTATCTGAAAACCTCCAAGAAAGGCGCGGGCCCCCCCAGGGTCCTGCGCCCCCCACCCCACCCCGGCCCTG